ATGATTTTCAGGGGTCACCAATCTCGTTCCTGGAGGTCCGCTGCCCTGGTGGGTTTAGCTCCAACTTGCCCTAACACACCAGCCTGGGTGTTTCAAGTATACCTAGTAAGACCCTGATTAGCTTGTTTTAGGTGTGTTTGATTAGGGTTTGAGCTAAAATCTGCAGAACCTCCAGGAACAAGTTTGGTGATCCCTGCTCTAGGCAAATGGCCTTGTGTCTTTGTTTTTGATGTGTGGGGTAATAAATGTTGAAACATTATTCTAAATGTAAAAATTATATATATATATATATATATATATATATATATAGAGTTCAGATGCAAAAACATTTTCTCAGCTTCCTTTGTTTATGTTGAGATATTTAACTTTAAAGACCAGGAAAAGTATTCTTGATGTTACTGAACTTGCTAAAATGCTCATTTTAGAGGAAAATTTCAGACGGCGTTTAGAGGTTTTTGCATCTAAACTCTTTACATATATATATATATATATATATATATATATATATATATATATATATATATATATATATATATATATATATATATATATATATATATATATATATATATATATATATATTAGGGGTGTAACGATTTATTGTTGTATGATTTATTGCGATGCTAAAATGTCACAATATGCATCGTGGCATTATGACGATTTGATTAGGATATGACGTCCGTTTACTCTTATTAGTTGAGCTGTTTGCACGTGAGCTACGTTCCACCTGCTGTCGCACGTGAGTTCAGATTGCAGCAGCAGTAATGTTAGCAGACCAAGATGAGTGGAGCTGAAATAGAGGATGGCTCATCCTCTCAAAATCAGACGTCTGGCAACATTTTGGTTGTACAGTCATTGCTTTAGACTCGTCCGCTTTTTGACACGCATACTGGGTCGAACATAGCCTAAGTTTTAAAGTCTTCACAGTGATTTACATACTTTGCACAGCGACATGGATACCTCCTAATGCTGTTAAAAGAGTCACATACTGTATTTATAAGGTACAATTCACCCTAAAATATCATTCTGTCTTCATATAATGATGTATTGGCGGCCGCAAAATCACACATGACGTAAGCTGACCGTGAGCTGTTACTACAGAGGGCGGACTATGATAGACTATTTTTTATGTATTTCTTTTGTTTCAACTTGTTAAACTGAACCTTCTTTAAGAAAATAAATTAAACAGGACTGTCTCTGGAAGAAATAAAACAATTTAAAAACTTCTTATAAAATATTATTGAAATTATTCAATTCAATTGAATTTAACAGTGAGAGCTTAATGCTTTGCTTGGTCACTTGCGTTTTTTGTGTGTGCAATCCACATTTCCAGGTAATCAGCAGTTCTATAAGATAATCCTGAACTGATGTGTATCTGTCTGAGAGGTTTTTATGGATGGCTGTCTTCATGTTGGGCATGATGAGTGACAGGGTGGCCGTCTTTTCATTACACAGGACAGTCGTGGCTCTTTTCAGCAGTTTAGGCAGGTTTACTATTTCTTCGGCGTCGCTGATGTCGGCGCTATCAAGTGTATCATGTTGACGTGCATTTTTGTGTACCTCTGTACTCAAAAGAGTTCATGCTCGTCGTAATCATAACTCTAAAATGCGATATGATTGTTTAAATAATGTGCACACTTTCGGTTTCACTTCCACTGCTGTTCATACTTCCCTTGCGGCTCCTGAACGATCACTCTGTTCCACAAACTGAATGCTGTTTACTACTTTATTACCTGTTAGTCAGTGCTCAGCATGTATGAGTACACCCCCCACAATTCTCTCATTTAAATGAATATTTTCTATAGGAAGCTTTACAATATTATAGTTGTGCATATACATTATTTTAGTCAGTACTGAAGCCAAATCTGGAGCTTATCCAACAAAATAACTTACAATAATGGTTAAAAAATTAGTAGCCCAATTTTATGTCAAGATATGTATATATATTTATATATTAGCACAGTACAGTTGCACAGTATTTAGAACACCATTACTGACTAAAATAAATACATTTGTGTCCAAATGCATCATTGCTTAATCTTTTAAAATTCAATTGTTCATTTACTCATTTCCATTACTGTTGTACTTTTTTCCCCAGAGTCCAGCTCTTGCACGGGTTAAAATTGAGGAGGCTAAAAGAGAACTGGTAATCGCTTCAATTTTTTGCTTTCACTTCACTTTTAATTTACAAGAATTGTACCATGTTTTATATAATAAATATTAAATAAATGCTCTCTCTCTCTCTCTCTCTCTCTCTCTCTCTCTCTCTCTCTCTCTCTCTCTCTCTCTCTCTCTCTCTCTCTCTCTCTCTCTCTCTCTCTCTCTCTCTCTCTATATATATATATATATATATATATATATATATATATATATATATATATATATATATATTAGGGGTGTAACGATATTAAAACCGAACCGAAATATCGCGATACACCAACCACGATACGTATCGCGAAACTCTCGTGGCGTACCGCGGTACTCTCACGCCCCCTGCTGCCCATTGTTGAGGTTGACGTCACTTGTCTCTAACTAATTGAACCAATTTAAACACATTAATTGATTAAATTGTTTTAGTAATGATGAGGATTTGTTCTAAATATTATATTCTAAAGTTAGTATTTTAGTGCATGTTATGTCATGTGACTTGAGTAAGCATCACACTCGTTACTACAGGACGCAGGATGGCTGCTTCACATAGTACTGAGATTGCAGATCCCCCAGACACATTTAAGTCATCTGTGTGGAAACATTTTGGTTTTCCAGTTGAGTACAGGAATAGAATTTGTGTCGTAGACAAAGCGCACGCCTGTCTGTCTCAACTGTTTCACGAAACTTACTTGTAAGGAAAAACATTTTAAAAGTGAGGTAATTTCACAATGTGAGGGTGTAAGCAACAGAACTGCCAACAAAAGTGATTTAATGTACAAAAGTTAAACCAGAATAATGCCCAAATATACAAAAAAAGAGAAATATTTACACTAATAAAATAATATAATAAAGTAACAAATTCAAACAAAAGTATCAAACAAAAATTAGTTAAGCTCGAGCAAGGGGGTGATAGTGAAGACAAACAAAAGAAATAAATACAACTATATTGTCGGGAAGGAGCGGATAATATACAAATCAATTGAAATAAAAATGTACAAACCTCACAAAATTTCTTAAAGTGGGCAAAAGTAATGCAAAATAATTTTACCCAAACAAAAGTTAAACAAAAACAATGAAAATCATAATCATGTCAGAAAAATACACGAAAAACGAGATCAAAGGAAAAAGCGCTCTCTCTCCCGCTATTCCTGACATGCTTTTCACATTCCCGCGCTGTGTCGCCAAATGATGATAGATCGGTCTCCTGACCAATCAGCTGTCAAAAAGGCGGACCTACAGAAATGACAGGCATCAGCTGTCATGTAAGCGGACCTACATAAATGACCGGCATAGAGGGAGGGGGAGAGAGAGAGATCAGGAGGCAAACATACAGCCGGCTACAACCCTAACATTAGTTTCAGACACAACCGCAATGTATTTTACTGGTGAATATGTCATGAAAAAACACTTTAGAAACACATTATATGTATATTTTTCTTTAATTTAAACGGAAACCTATCTATCTAAATAAAACCATATAATCAAAAATGAGCGTCTGTGTCTGCACAGAGATCAAGCCTCTCATCGGAGAATGTGGATATTATGGTGTTTTTGAAGAAGATCTTTCACTAGTCTACACTGCAGTTATTTATTTCATTTTAGTTTACTTAGTGAAGATGGCTGCACTAAAGAGAACAGTTTTTTTTCTGACTAGTCTATATTGGAGGTATTTATTTAATTCTAGTTGTTTACTCTGGTATCCTGACTGTACTAAAAATGCGATGACAAAGTTAATAAAGAAAAAAGTAAGATGTTCTTGTTATTAAGTGAATTGTCCCTTAGCATTGCTGTTAACATGACATCAACCCTAACCCCACAGCAAACAGAAACCGAACCGTACCGAACCGAACCGTGGCTCCAAAACCGTGAACCGAACCGTGCCTTTTGTGTATATTTACACCCCTAATATATATCTATCTATCTATCTATCTATCTATCTATCTATCTATCTATCTATCTATCTATCTATCTATCTATCTATCTATCTATCTATCTATCTATCTATCTATCTATCTATATATATATATGGATAAAAAAATAAGTTGTTTGTATATATTAATATTTTTAATGAATATATTTAATATAAAAGTGTCTATTAGTGTGCGGCGCAGTGGGTAGCGCTGTTGCCTCGCAGCAAGAAGGTCGCTGGTTCGAGCCCCGGCTGGGTCAGTTGGCATTTCTGTGTGGAGTTTGTGTGTTGGCCTGGGTTTCCTCCAGGTGTTCCGGTTTCCCCCACAGTCCAAAGATATGTGCTATAGGTGTATTTGGTAGGCTAAATTGTCCATAGTGCATGAGTGTGGATGGGTGTTTCCTAGTGATGGGTTGCAGCTGGAAAGGCATCCGCTGTGTAAAACTTAGGCTGGATAAGTTGGCGGTTCATTCTGCTGTGGCGACCCCAGATTAATAAAGGGACTAAGCCGAAAAGAAAATGAATGTATATTAGCATTATTTAGTTTTAAAAACATAATATAATTTTTTGTGTCTGTGCGTGGATGTGTGTGTGTATGTATGTATGTATGTGTGTATGTATATGTATATATATATATATATATATATATATATATATATATATATATATATATATATATATATATATTACAGTTCAATGACTATTTCTTAAATTGTGTTTTATTTTAAGGCTGCCCTGGATGCTCAGCTGGAGCAGAAGGTGGACTTTATGAACACTCTATCTAGATAACTTTAAATCTTTAATAAAAATGATAATAAATAATTGTTCGTGTTATTGAATGTGACTTCTAACATGTGCCTTTTGCAATAAACTCAATTCTTCTCCGAGTCACGTGGTGGCGCCTTTTGTTTTCCTCATCGCCGCCGCCGCAGCGGAAATGACGGTTAGACATTTGTTCCAGCGACGGCTAGTGGGGACATTTTAAATTAGCAAACTGCGCTAAAGCGGTCGGAAAGTCAAGAATACACCGCAGTTACCCCACTAAATTTCACCAAACTCCAGATTTTCCTCGTGAATATGGTGCTGCTCGCCTGAGATGCTCCAGAGGACACACACATGAGGACAGATTTGCTCCAGGTAAGCTGTTGTCGTCGGTTAGTGAGCGCGCTCGGCACTGCGCCCTTCCATTTTGAACCTGTACTGCAGTTTAGACCCAAACCTGTCCCGGTTTCACGCGTTTAAATGTGATTATATCCATGTAGACGTGCTGTATTCACTCAATACGAGAATAAAGAGCACTCGAGCAACTTGCAGACTGAAGGGGTTTCAGCAACAGTGTGTCGCAGGATGAGTGTGTGTGCTGCAGAGTCTTTATTCAGACGATGCAACATTTGTTTACGTTTGTTTACGTTATTTAACTTTAGTGTTGTAAGCGCGCTCCATTTGATTTAGAGTTGCACTGCACGCGTGCACGCGCTGCTTTATAAATTGACTGGATTTTTAGAATACACTTGAATTTTTGCTGATTGCAAATCAGACTTTGTAATGTTTCTGATCTATAATCTCCATTAAATGCGTTATTAATTGCTGTTCGCTGTTTGCACGCATTGCGATATGATTAGAGCGCGCGCGCGATACCGGTCTGAAGCGCGTTCGTGTTGCGCGCGGTTCGTGTTTCAGTGACCGCGCGAACAACTAGCAGTCAGCTAACGTTTTTAATGCTGTAGAAATTCATATTAAAATACAACTGATGGTCACCAGAAAGCGTTAATGCTGTTACAATTGCTGTCTTAATGAATTTGAGATGATCTTCAGATCTTATAGGAAGCTTCCAGTGTGTTTATTGTAAACTCATTTTGATAGCTGATATCTGAGATCAGTTTTTGTTGTAATTGAAGAGTTTGCCTCTGAAATGTGTCTCTACAATGAGCATGTTTCTCAGATACCTGTGTTTGTTCAGTTATTTCACTTAAAGCACAATTTGAAGAGCATATTTGTTGCCGTTAATATGAATTTACTGAGTTTACACACAGGAGCATGGAGAATGTTCATTTCAGAGGAACATTTCAGTGGGCATTTAGAGGTTTTAGCATCTGAACTCTTCAGTTAATGTTCTAAACTAATAAAAGTGTTTTCTGGCAATAAGATGTAATGTTAATATATGGCTTTCACCAATAAGAATGTCATTTTTCCTGCCAGGTGTATATACACAAATACATTAATTCACATTTTGAAGTTTATCATCGAGTTACTGAATAAATAAGCCATAATTACTGGCGTATATGTCTGCAAATATCCCTTTAATTATGATTTTGACACCTGATGAGATCATATTGGTACAGTTTTTGTTAAAGAGTTAGCCATCTGAAATGTTCCTCTGAGCTTTTTTCTCAGCCTCCTATATTTGTTACGTTATTTCTCTTAAAAGACAACATGAAGAAGAGCATACTTGTTGCCATTAAAGTCAATTTAATAAACCTGCACACAGGAGAAGTCTGAGAAAAATGCTAATTTTAGAAGAAACTGATGTGGCATTTAGAGGTTTTAGCATCTGAACTCTTCAGTTAATGTTCTATACTAATAAAAGTACTTTCTGGCAATAAGATATAATGTTAATATATGGGTTTCACTAATAAGAATGTCATATTTTCTGCCAGGCATGTATACACAAATGTATTAAATAAGCCATCATTACCGTCTTATGCATCTGCAAATGTCACTTTAATCCTCCTTTTGAGAGCTGATCTGAGATCATATTGCTACAGTTTTTGTTATAATTTAAGTTGCCGTCTGACATGTGTCTCTAAAATGAGTTTTTTTCTCAGACTCCTATGTTTGTTCAGTTATTTCTCTTAAAAGACAACTATAAGAAGAGCATATTTCTTGCTATTAAAGTGAATTTACTGAGCTTACACACAGGAGCCTGAGAAGAATGCTAGTTTTAGAGGAACATTTCAGATGGCATTTAGAGGATTTAGCATCTGAACTCTTTAGTTAATGCTCTAAACTAATAAAAGTACTTTCTGGAAATAAGATGTAATGTTAATATATGGCTTTTTTATTAATAAAAATAGTGTGTTTCTTGCCCGCTGTATATACACAAATATATAATAAATAAATAAGCCATAATTACAGTCTTAGGCATCTGCAAATGTCACTAATTCTTTTGATAGCTGATCTGAGATCATATTGGGGCAGTTTTTGTTAAAATGGAGTAGTTGCCCTTTGTGCACTGTGCTGTGTCCGACAGATCACACTTTTATGTTTTTCTTTTCTTTTTCATTATCTTATAACATATTTTAAACACATTTTTATCTGTTTTATCTTTTTTATTCTTATTTTTATAATTTTTATTTTTATTATTTGTTTTTATATTTTTTACACTTGTCTCTTTTATTCTTGTTTATGTAAAGCTTTTTGAATTGCCACTGTTTATGAAATGTGCTATATAAATAAACTTGCCTTGCCTCTAAAATGTTCCTCTCTGAGCATTTTTTTTCAGCCTCCTATGTTTGTTCATTTATTTCCTTTTAAAAGATAACATGAAGAGCACATTTGTTGCAGTTAAAGTAAATTTATCAAACTTACAAACAGGAACCTGAAAAGAATGCTCATTTTAGAGGAAAATTTCAGATGGTATTTGGAGGATTTAGCATCTGAACTCTTCAATTTATATTTTAAACCAAAAGTACTTTCTGACAATAAGATGTAATGTTAATATATGGCTTTCACTAATAAGAATGCCATATTTCTTACACACAGATATATAAAATTTACATAATTTGGCGTTTATCATGTTACTAAATAAAAAAGCCATAATTACAATTATAATTCTCCTTTTGATAGCTCATCTGAGATCATATAGCTAAAGTTTTTATTATAATTGAAGAGTTGCCATGTGAAATGTGCCTCTAAAATGAGCATTTTTCTCAGTCTACTATATTTGTTCAGTTATTTCACTTAAAAGACAACATGAGGAGCATATTTGTTGCCATTTAAAGTCAATTTACTTAATCTGCACACAGCAGAAGCCTGAGGAAAATGCTCATTTTGGAAGAAACTTTCAGATGGCATTTAGAGGTTTTAGCATCTGAACTCTTCAGTTAATGTTCTACACTAATAAAAGTACTTGATGGCGGTAAGATGTTTATGTTAAACACATTTAATTTCTAATATTTTAATAGTTTAATATGTTACTAAATAAATAAAATAGGTCATAATTACTGTCTTGTACATCTGCAGATGTCACATTAATTCTAAATGGAAAAGCTAGTATGTGACAGACATATTTTAAATTTGTTTATCTGTAATGTATAAACATTGCACATTTAAAGCTTTGTAACGTGTACACTCTTACTGTTATATTTCTGTGTGATCATTATATATGGTATAAGAACACACTCTTTATTATGCACATTGACTGCCAAAAATCATGGAGTTACTGTTATGCATTTCTGATTAGCATAATTTAGGTTTACTTACAAAAAAAAATCTATTTACACACATCTGTGTAAACAAATTACAAAATCTACAAAAACATTGCATTTATACAGATGCTGTCTTGGGGTCCGTTCTGTGTGTGTAGATACTCAATTACTGGATTTGGTTATTGACGATTTGACATGATCCAGGATTGTTTCGTTCTTAAAAACTCATCTGAGAGTTGTTGTCATAGTAACACTTCTGGTAGCTCAAACCTGCTCAGGAGCAGCAGCTTATTTCATATAAACAGGATTAGATCATGTCTTTTCAAGCAAAGGTAATACTGAAAGTATGTGCTGAATTCTGGTATTCCTTTTATATTCGTACAGTAGTAGTTATTTACGCTTAAGTATATTGCAAATAGTTTAAAAGAATAAATAAAATAGTACTTTTGTATCTAATAATTCCATCCATATTAATATATGTTCATTGTGAGCCCCTTGGGGATAACCACCCCGTAACAGTCTTATTACTCTTATTTTTATTTTTATTAATGTGTGTGTGTGTGTATATGTGTGTGTGTGTGTGTGTGTGTGTGTGTGTGTGTGTGTGTGTGTGTGTGTATATGTATATATGTGTGTATATATATATATATATATATATGTATATATATATATATATATATATATATATATATATGTATATATATATATATATGTATATGTATATATATATATATATATGTATATATATATATATATATATATGTATGTGTATATATATATGTATGTGTATATATATATGTATGTATATATATATATGTATGTATATATATATATATATATGTATCTATGTATGTGTGTGTATGTATATATATATATATGTATATATATATGTATATATATATATGTATGTGTGTGTGTGTGTGTGTATATATATATATATATTATATATATATATATATATATATAATTATATATATTATATATATATAGAGCTGCACGATTCTGGCTAAAATGAGAATCTCGATTTTTTTTTTTTTTTTTTTTTTTTTTTTTTTTTTTTTTTTGCTCAAAATAAAGATCACGATTTTCTCACGATTCTGTATATGTAAAATAAAGGTATGGTAAAAAAAAATGTATGGCACAACACCGATAATAATATTATGTGTAGGTCTACTGGTTTTTATAAATAATTCTATTCTACTTGTAGTAATTCTGATGTTGAATTATCATGTTTGAGATATATGCTTGCAATCCGTCATATTAGACAAATTTATTCACTGGTAAAATCAGACATTTGCCATTATTAGATTATATTCAACAATATATAAACTAGAGTAGTTATACTGACATTGTAAACATTTATTTTCACGCGCATACTTTCTCTGTGATAACAGCTCACGGTCAGCAGCTCACATCACGTGTGATTTCCTGACCACGAAAACATCATTATATTAAAACAAAAAATACATTTTTAGGTGAATTATACCTTATAAAAACATTATGTGACTCATTCAACATCATTTGGAGGTTTCAATGTCACTGAGCAACGTATGTGAAACAATGAAAAGACTCGTGCAGCCGCCTTTTCTTCTCTCCTGAACTTGAAAATATGATTGACAGAATCGTAGAAATGCTGGATTAAGATCGTCTAGGGGTCGAATCGAGATCGCGATCTTTTATCAATTAATTGTGCAGCTCTAATATATATATATATATATATATATATATATATATATATATATATATATATATATATATATATATTAATCTTTATACAAAGGCTAGGGTTGTTATACTGACACAGTAAACATTATTTTCATGCACAACGTTGTGTTCGCTATGAAAGAAAAAACATATCAAATGCTTGTCGTAATCATGACTCTAAAATGCGATAGGGTCATGTAAATGATGTGCACACAGGTTTCACTTTCACTTTCGAGTTTGGCTCATGGCTGCGGTCACTGAGAAAACAACACACACATGCTAATCAAACCTCCCGCACGGCCCTCAAACGATCGCTCTGTGCAACAAACTGAACGTTATTTACAACTTCATTACCTGTTATTCACAGCCTATGCAGTGTGTTCACCAAAGTAGGCGTTGTGCGTGCACGCGCGCGTTCTCGGTAGTAAAGTCAGCTCGCGTGTGATTTCACGCCCATGAATACATCATTACATAAAGGCAGAAATGACTTTTTTGGGTGAATTATACCTTATAAATACAGTATGTGACACTTTTAACGGCATTTAAAGGTGTCAATGTTGCTGTGAAGACTTGTGTCCGCCTTTACGCTTCTCTCCTGACCTTGAAAATATAATTGGCTCAATTCGTAGAAAAGCTAAATTAAGATCGTGTGTAGGGTCGAATAGAGATCGCAATCTTTTGCCGATTAATCGTGCAGCCCTAATTGAGATGATCAAGTAGTTTTCTATGCAGTGCGTTTACAGAATTTATAACAAAGTACAAGCATATACAAGTACAATAAAGCAAAGTTATAGTTAAAATCTAAAGGTTAAATAATCAGTGCTTCATGGTTTTCTGGGGTATTCAGGTACAGAAATTGAACAAGCGTAAAAGAACATGGTCATCATTGAGTAAGTTATTAAAAAACAATTAATTATGTTATTAAATTTTGGTCTTTAATGAACAAACTAATCCTGTGATGTGACTGTTGCAGATACACACAATTGTGATATTGATGCCCAAACTCTATATTGTGCAGCTCTAACCCTAATTTAAATGTTGCATAATTCATCGGTTATGAAAACAAAGCTGTAAAGCTGTTCTCTACATTAAAAATTAAATAATTGTAGCTCTATCTAGTGATTCTGACTTCTGTTTTTAATCACAATTGTGAGTTTGAATCTCACTAATTAAGACTTTTTTTTCTCTTCAGAGAGTATGAGGTTTTAAATGTGCTGTTTGCTGAGTTCTTAAGCATGCTTTCACAGTAAACAGTTTTAGTCTGATTAAAAATAGCTTTGCTGTAACTTCTCTGTTATTGCAGTTTATTTGAACAAGTGCCAAGCTGTCTGAACACTTCTGTGATACCAAACTAGCAGACCGAGAGTGCTAAAAAGGTGTCTCTCAAACTCCAAACAAACTCTGGTTTGGTTTAACTGATATACGAATATAACATGACATCTAAATGAACCAAAACAGGCCATGAAATTAGCAGAATGTTCAAGGAAACCTGGTGTTGGCATCATAGTTGCAGTGTTGCTCAGCACATACGGTATAATCCATGCATCTTCTCGCTGCGGCTCTTTAACCGAGGAATTCCTGATGCTGTTTTCACATATTATAATCTCTTCATTAGTTGTTAACTGATAAAAATAGCATTGCAGGATCACGCATGCAACAACCATGTTCAGGTTAGCATATGGCATTGTTTTGGAAGTTCAGTAAGTTCTTCAAATAAATAAAATTGAATGTTTAGGATAATAAAATATCAAATATTTAGGAGCACCGGAAAAAATTTAGCAGCAGCAGAAAAATTAGGAGCACCCACCAAAAATGAATGAGTACCACTGCAAATTGTTGTTAAGGGATTTATTTGAAAACAACATCAATTAGGACTACCAAAAAGCAGAAACAACTATCTAACTAATTCTGTGTTGACTTAATATTTGCAATAATTCCAAAATGAATGTCTAATGCTTATAAAAAATAAATGATGAAGATGATCACAATAATACTAACAATAAATTACATTTCTCATGATCGTGCTGTTCTGAATGTGCTTGAATGTTAGTTATCTGCTATAAAAAGTCATTCTGTTACTGTATGAAAAATACATTTATATTTTGCATCAAACACAAATGAAGAATTGACGTAATAATTATTTGTTTTGCACTTGTTTTTATATGCATGTCAATTTAATAAATAATATTCTGCTACAAAACAAACTGAAGATTATAATAAATCGTTCAATTCAATGCTGAAAGCTGCAAAGCAGTCATCAGTAACTAAATAGAAAAATAATATTAATAACGAAGAAAAGTCTTTCTTCTACCGCTCTTTAAAAGTTTTGGTTTCGGTTTGTGTCATTTTAAATGCTCTCGTTATGCAGTGATTTACATTTAATATTTAATACCGTTTATTGTTATGAGCTGCAGTTCCAGTGTAAACTAAAGGCGAGCTTCTTTGGCGATGATGTGTACAGGACATTTGCGGTAAACACGCAGTGAATGCAACGCATCGAGATTCTGGAACTTCTCTGAAAACACTCAATCTCGGCTGGCGGATCAACATTCAAAACATAACCGCTGTCATGTTTGCCATTGTTTCTAACTTTGGGTGGGATTTGCAAACCTCTGTACTTTTCACTCTTCAGCCGTTTTCATTTTAGCGGAAAGCATTTTAGCTGTTAATCACTCAAAGAACCAACATAGTGGTAGGGAAGACCGATTCAGCATGTTTTTAGACAAAGTCTAAACAGGTCGCACTGACACCCATTATATACTTAATAGAGATGCGCGGATGGCGGTTACAGCCGCAGAATCCGCGGATAAACCGCGGATCGGGCGGATGACGTGACGAAAAATAATATTTTAATTAAATTCGGGCGGGTGGTGGGCGGTTGTACTGTTTTTGTACACATAGCTGGCGAACCAACGAAAAAGCCTAGAACTGACTTCACAGAATGAGAGGAGGAATCGGATACACTAATTCTGGATGAAGTACAGAAGTATTCCTTTACAAACTTCCGTATAGACGGATCAGCAGAGGAAAATCTACTTTCCTTTTAGGAGAAACAAGGCCAGTCATTCCCACGACTACAGCACCTTGCCAAGAGAATTCTATGCATTCCAGCAACAAGTGCTACGAGCGAGCGCTCCTTCAGCGCAGCAGGGCGCATTGTGGCCAGGCGCTCTCGTCTGAATGTTGAAATGATGTGTCAAAATGCGTTTTCTATTAGGCTACAATAATAATTAAAATGTACAGTACAGTGCGTTTAATTTAGGCTATTTATTTATTTTTGTCCCTGTGCGCCAATTGGAGACGGAGTTCACTGCTGATATTCTGAGAGCTTTATGCTTCTCATTTCTTTTTGTGTATCCTCGTTTCCTTTCCTTGCTTTCTTTCCTCGTCTTTCCACCCCTATAGGATGCGAGGGAAGGACGCAAGGAAAAGACTCAAGGACCGAGGAATTGAATCAAGTGAAACGACACGTCCTCGTATTGTTTAGCGTCACTTCAAAGCGTCAATTAATGCTGGATTTGACTTGCACGTTTGAATTAACTGCATGTCATTAAAGTCATTCTCTTTTTTCTAATAATCAATAAAGAAACATTCATTTAATAGTAAAAAGGAATTAGCCATTCAAATAAAGAGCTCAGTCAGCAGATGGCGGGCGGGTGCGGTTTTAAAATTTGGTCAAAAATGTTAGTGCGGATGGATGGCGGACGGAGGATGAGTTTTGTGATGCAGTTGCGGATGAAATAATAGCCCATCCGCGCATCTCTAATACCAAATATATTAGGAGGCATAGATTAAATTTCGGGCGCATATGTGACCAAAATGGTCGCAATTTCGAGCCCTGCATATTTTTCTCACTCATGCAAATATATATTTTTGCTTGTTAGTTTTGATTAGTGTTGATCTGTAAATCTGTTTAAATAAACCTTGTAGCAACGGTGCCCATAATTGGTGGGAGCGAAATTTTTTTGGCTGGTGCGCCTAAATTTTTAAAGTTAGGAGCACCAGTGCTACCAAGCAAAAAGGTTAATTTTGAGCCCTGCCTTGTCTGTTGACTTTGGGGCGAGGGAACTGAAACTGCTAAAATGCTAACTCGCTTTCGGGTTTTTGCATGCAAAATTACATCATAGTTCCTCCACTCTATTATCTTTAAAACTTAATTTCCATATTAAAATGAAGGTGGTGCAGTGCTTATAGTCATAGGAAATGTAACTAACAATTTAAATGAATAAATTCCCTATTAATCATCTGTTAAATTGACCCTTTTCTTCTTTTCCAGGTCAGCCGCCCCCGTTTATCGACTAACAACTGCCACTTCAGAGTCTCCACCCCTGGCCCCGCCCTTCAGAGATGACTGATGCCCAGAAGGCCAACGAGCTCCCTGAATGCCCCTCAGAGGGCGGGGCCACAGCAGAGGAGCAGGACATGCCACTGAGACAAGAGACCACGCCCACCAGCTCTCCGGCAGGCGAGGACCCAATCAGCTCGCAGAGTCCTGACAAACAAGCGCCCGGCTTGCTCTCAATGCCCTGCTTACTAAAGGAGCTCCACAGAGACTCCGCCCCTGGGCAGCCACAGGAAACAGCTCCGCCCCCGAGCTCCACCCAGTCGGGCCCACAGGAAGACAGCGATTCTTCAGTGTGTCTTCGGTCGCCTTCGTCTTCGGGTCATCTTGGAGACTCTGATACTCTATCATCTGCAGAGGAAGTAGCTGCACCCACTCAAACAGCTGGCAGGAAGTCGCGGCGCTCTCATTCAGAGAGCGACACATCCACTGTCGCAATGGCGGCTAAGAAGAACCGATGCCAAGAGAAGCAGGTGAATGGACGAGTGCGGGTTCGAGGGCCGCGCAGCCAGAGGCAGAAGCAGCGCATGCGGCAGCTGCGGCAAAAGAGGGAGGCGGCGGCCAGACGCAAACCAGACGTGCTCCAGGACAGCAGCACCAGCGACAGTGACATCACAGCGCACTCGTCTTCATCATCTCCCTTAACGGCTTCGTCCGACAACGAGGGAGAGACAATCAACTCTCACGCACCAGGTAACTGCACAAACACGCACACACATATATATACACACAAACAGACACATTGGTGATGGCCTGGGGTCCATTCTTCGTACCTCGCTTCATGTACACATGAAGCTCACTTTCCTAGTTTTGTGGTGAAACAACTCATCTATGCATGTCATTAAGAGAAAAACAAAATAGTTTGCCCCCTTGTAATCTAAAATTAAAATCTGAAAATGCACTTCCTGTTTGTTTTCAGTTTAATTCTCAGTTTAGGTCTGTCTGAGGTACTGGGCGTGGCTAACATACTTTACCACGCCCCTCCAGCTGTTAGTTTTGACAACAAACAGAAATGGTGGATGACAGGGTCCCCGCGGGGTCTTAAAAAGTATTTAAAAGTCTTAAATTAAAAAATCTAAATTTATGTCTTTAAAAAGTCTTAAATTTGCTGTTTTAGGTCTTAAATATTTTTGCACAGGTCTTATTTTTGCGATGTCCATGTAACGCTACATCTAATGCTCATTTAAATTCTTTTTTTGTTGTTGCTTTGTTTTTGGGGTGTTGTAGTTCTTTATTTCACTAGTCCAATTGTAATTTGCGGTATGTGCGCGCGGCAAATGTGACGTCGTCGCTGTGTTTGCAGGAGTTCGCTTTGAGTGCGCGTGACATGATTTCGGCTGGCAGAGTATGCCGCTATTTCCCTGACAAATGTCGAAAGCGCAGTTTTTATAAGTTGGGAGTGCTGTAATACGAGAGAGCAAATCTCTGCTCACGCGCCGGTTTTCTTTGTTCATGGACAAAACTGCTTGCGAACTCTCAAAACACTGGCTGCTCGCGTGTGAATGATCTGCTCTCGCTGTGCCAGACTCCTTTCGTGCTTTTCCAGAGATGCTTCAGCATACTGTAGTATTAAGAATAGTGAACTGATAAAATGAAATACAGTGTAGTTTTACTACAGTAAAGTGTGTTGAATTGTAGAAAAATATACCCTATATTGTAAAAAAAAAAACTAAAGCGCTGGGTAGTTTGTTTTTAATACACTTGTTGAGTTACCATAGCAACTATAGTATTACCACAACAGAGTAATTGAAGTACTTTACTGTACTTTACAAAACACTGTACAGCAGACACTCGTTCACTTTATTTTAGTGATAAAATAAGATTGATAGTGGGATTTATTTGAAGAGTGAATAGTACAGTAAGCTATAATACCTAATCAAGTTTTTGCCTATTTTCTATCACGGTTACATTTCTGCTTGCCAGAATGACCAATAATTATTGTCTAGAAATTGCAGCAGCCATGGGAAAGGAGCAACGTTTTTGTAAAACTTTGGAAAAACTCTGAGGGATATGTTTGTTAAAACAAAAAAAAGAGGCCCTCAAAAACATCTTCAATGATAATGAGTATCTTTTTATTCGTCTGATTTTACTTTGTTTTTTTTGGACCCCCCCTGTCATTTAAAAAAAAAAATGTCTCAATGGTTAACGTGTCAAGTATAAAAGCCTTAATCCGTTTCATGAGTTGTGCGATGCGGTGCCAGGTGAAAGTATAAATCTGTTTGTTTTTTCTGTAGTTCAATGGCGCATTTAACCTGACTTTAGTACTGTTCAATTTAAATAACTTTATTTTACCCCTAATTTTGTGCTTTTACATTTTCTCTCGCGTGTTTTTGATATTGCGATATAGGTCTTAAATTTAATACTTAATGGTCTTAAAAAGGTCTTAAAAGGTCTTAAATTTGACATTGTGATATCTGCAGAGGAGGAGTCTGTTATGTTGTAATAACTCTCCAAACTTTTTCCTGAACTACTTTACTACATCCAATCAGCTTGAAACAGAAAAACAAGCCACGCCCACTTTTTTCATGTAATATTTAATTTCTCTTAGAACTGCGTCACAAAACGACAAAGTGAAAATTAAAAACAGTCACAGCTTCCGGTTCATGCCGACTATAAATGAATTAAGTAAAGTTGGACCAGGAACATGTCATTTCTACAGTGTCAGTGTTTATTTTAGGCTTTACATTTTATATTTAGCTTTAAGAATTGTCCTAATTTGCATTATTATTTTGCTGCATAAGCATTACACAGTGGCATAACATGCTTTTAAATAATTTATCACAATAATTTCTGTGAATTTATCGCACAACAGGAGTTATTTAATTGTGACAGGCCTAGATGTAAGGTGGTTTGGCAGATCCTGGGCCTTTTAATTATTATAACTGATCTCTGACTTTGGATCTTCAAACAAGATTGTGCAATCAGATTTAAATATCTGAAGTTATTTATTATTAGATTACAGCTAGGAATGCTCTGAGGATATTTACAGCCAATACAGAGTACCGATTCCTTGTCATGGTGATCAGCCGATATTGATTCTGATTCTTGAAGCTTTATAATGCATAAAGCACATTTTCCCTCTAAGAACGATACTTAAATCGAGATCTCTCCTTAGCTAAAAGAATAAGTGATGAAGTATCTAATCCCTTGAATATGTCTCTTAAAACCATTTAGTGCTGACATGTCATGGTCAGAAGCTTTACAGAATTTAATAGATAAAACTGATTTAAAAAGATTAACAATGCAATTTGGAAGCATTGTAAATGTTGAAAGAAGAATTTATAGGGATGCACGATATATCGGAGGCCATATCGTTATCGGCCGATAAATGCTATTTTTAGGATTATCGTTAGCGATCCGATGTCTAAATTAAGCCAATATCTTTAAGCCAATAAATTACGTAATTGTTGCCGCACGCCTGGGCGGAACATGTTCAGACTTGTTCATGGATCTCTCCTCACACTGATTATTCCTTCAAAGTCCGTCCTTTCCTCACGTGGTATTGCTCTGCGTTAATAACTCAGTAAGTAACCATTATCCTTATCATTGTAGATAGGTTTGATTTGAGTGCCATTGTGTATTTTGCTTCAAATCGCCTCAGGAAAAAATATTACATATGAAAGCCTTTCCTGCTCTGTCTATTTGTTGTGTTAGAGATAGCTGGGAGATTTACTTATTACTCCAGGGCCGAATAATATTAGTTTCGGAGTTAATTCTTTTAGTTGCAGCGGTTGAATGAACGAGGACCCGAAAAAAGCGCTTCACATACACACACACACCAAACTGACCTACACACGTGACGCGCTAAACAAAAACTTTACGGGTTTTTAATCTAATATAATTATTTGTTCTTGTCAACGCGTTGCTTCTAGGGATGCTCATTTCGGTTAATTTTGCTAACCGACAACCGCCGCTCATTAATCGGTTATTAACGGTTAACGGGTGAGATTACTATTAATTTTATATTAAACAAATTGACGTGCCTATTTTGTGTCTGACACATTAAATATTGCATTTTAAAATACTGATTTATTTTTATATGCTAGCATATTAATAATAGAACAAGACAACAGAGCATTTTCATGCACCTGCAGTGTTTAGCACAGAAGAGCAGAATAAACTAAATTAAATGAATAAAACAAATAGGACTGCCCTAAATTATTTTCACTTAAATAATTAATTTATATTACAAAACGAAAATATTGACAGATTCTTTTTAAAAACCGGCATAGGCTGTTTTTTTCCCTGATGGGTTGTTGGTAATATTTCCGCAAGATGACCATGCCACAGTTTAGCTAAATTAATTCACGCCTCTTCCTGAAGTGACATGCGATGTGCCTTCGTCATTTGCAATGCCATAACATTGTTTTTCAGCCGCAGCCGCACTTGTATAGTTTGTCTAAAGTGATGTATACAAACTATATAGTATGCTATTAGCAGGGATAGCACATCAGCCAGCGCAATCGTCCCTCCATAGTCAAAAGTATTATTTTGGGTTTACCTGTCTGTTTACATGCGGTAGTTCCCTTGGCATTTTTCCGCACGCGAATTTTGACCAATCGAAAAGCAGTTTAGGAAATGTTCAACAACTTCTGGCCAATGAGTGATGTGGATTTTGTCACATGACTGCATTTTGGTTCTTTTCCACTGGTTCGGACTAAAGCAATCAGTGTGGTGTGGAAAGGACCCAAAGATGGCAGAAAATGCTACAATGCATCCTTTATTGCCATTGGTCCGGACCAAATAAAGCAAACTACAGATGTGAAAGCACCCTAAGGGCCCCCTTTTACTTTTTTTTTTACTTCACAAAAGTATTATATATATATATAATTATATATTTATATAATTGGTTGTTAATATCTAATTTTTCACCATTTGATTATTATATAATTTTTTTATTTTTTCTATTTTATTTAAATAGGCGTGCAAGTATACAAAATTAAGTTATGACATGATATGAACTTTAAAGTTAAAACAGGCTGCAAAAATCAGCAAAAAAAAAAAAAAAACATTTGCAATACATCCTAAACTAGTGTTTTAGAATAAATACTTTGAGTCAAGGTTTATCTTTAAAAAGGTTCTTTTGAACTTTAGCTGACCATAAATCTCTAATGATAGAATATCTGTAATATCCATGCCTCTAATATCCAAAATAGCTTATTGTGGTCTTCTGAGTTACAGAAGGCTGGTATCCTTATTTTATTTATTTCTTTATTTATTTTTTATTTTTTTGCATCGGATATATTGTCTAATGAAAGTCAGCGCCAATATTTCATATTTCGCTCCATATTTTTACTGTCGTGTTCATTTTACTGTCGTGTTCAGGGGCAGAACAAACATTTATAAAAAGTTCGCTATCTAACTGGTTCAGTCAGACTTACTGTAAAGCTTATTGTAAAGTAGTGCATTTACTTAAGATAGATACTGCGCAACGATGGATATTTTGATAACTGCTTGTGTAGCCTATTTGATTTGTTTGCAAGCTGTCTCTGTTATAATGTGTGGTGGAAGGATTGTGTGGGCTCGCGCTGGTTTGAGTCCAGCCTTAACCGCCGCGCGGCCGAGACAGCGCTTAAGTTATGAGTCCATTTAGTATGAATCCGCCTATCCCAGCTTCTTTTACTACATGTACAATTGTCTCAACGATGGAGACTGTTTGAATTTAGTTTTTTGTTCTACGGCGAGCTTGGTTA